CACACACACACACACAGAATAGTGGAATGTGCTTGGTCAACATGCAGTGTGCAGAGGCCGTATTAGCTTTACACTGAGCTAACAGCTAACAGATGGCAGCAGTCTTGTGTCCGCTGCAGAGCTAAGCAAGGTTAAACCAGACAATGGCCAAATGGGGCTAAATTAGGCCAAGCAGAGCTGAACCAAAAGAATCATACCGGTTTTCGGTTTTCTACCATACAGCTCCTGGACCCATGATATCAAAGAGTCAAGACAAGACACAAGGACGCAGGTCATTCGGGGTCCAGCTGTAGTTGTGTTGAGTTTTATCTACCTGACCTACATCCAACAGAGACAGCCTGGCACTGCGTTCACACGGCAAGTTAACTTACATCTCCATGTGTCTACATGGATTGCTGGAAATGGTGCCAGGGCCGCAACTAAAAGTTAACAGATTTATCTGCAGATTATTTGTGCAACTATTCAATTAATTGAATTTCACATAACCCAAGCTGAAATCTTTAAATGTCTTGTTTTGTCCAACCAACGGCCCAAATCTCAAAGACATTTACAATGCTGACGATGCTTGATAAATGACATAATGTTTAATTAATTATCAACAATGTTATTGATAATTTTCTGTTCTAATTGATTAACTCACTAACACTGTCAGCACTACTAGAATCCCTGCAGCAGCCAACACTTATCAACAGCTGTGTTATCTCTGACCTTTGTGTCTTTATTGAATGTCACTTGTGACAGTGGGGCTTTAGAAATACCCTCTACAGATTTGATTCTGAAGGCTTGATCAATTTTCTGTCGACCAACAAAATGATTTTTTGACAATTCGTTTTAGAGCTACGTGCCATAAAGGAGAAAATGGTGATTTCTCCTCACATACACGCAACTTGGGGGTTCAGTTCTTTTTTAAAAAACACTCTGACATGAGGAGCCAGACTCTGAACCACCAATACAACAGATAATGGATGACGTGCTCCATCACCTGAGAGACAGCATGTTAAATCATACTTTCAGCTACAACTCTAAGCAAAGCAGGTCGGCTTGACAAAATAAAATGTTTCACCACCATACACAGCTGTCAAAACTCTTCTTGTATCCCTTTTAGCAGAAAAGCCTTTATCCATGTCTTCTCCTTCTACACGGCTAACGGCCGATAAACTCTAAAGCAGTCCAGACCCAGACAGCAGACCTGTATGTGGTTGTACTACATTGGCTGTCCGTGACACAAAGAGTAAGCAGACTGTGAACTTCTTCTGCTTCTGAAACAGCAATCAAACATTCCTGACGATGACTTCTACAGGGTCTGGTAGATTTTAGTAAGCGTGACCTTCTGTCATTCACACAAACAGAAAGTACATATTACACAGGTATGAAAGACTGCCTGTGCATGTTTAACAGAAAGATAAACACATGCTGTAAGCGCTGACTGCTCTGCGTGTGGCTGTCCATTGGTGCAACTTTCTCCTCCTGCTGCTGAACTATACTGTATGTCTTGTGACATGAGATGCATGATGATACCTTATGATGCCCGAGATGTTCAGGCTTTATTCATGCTTCAGGTGATGTCATGTGCTGTAGAATGTGATCTGAAGCCGCCTGAAGCTGCTTATTTGCCATTGACCTCTGTATTTAAAGGACTGCACTGTTATTTATCTGCAGTCTGCTCCGTCTGTGCCATTACAGGATGGTTTGTGTTTGTGGAGCTGTCAACCTGCACAGCCACAAAACAGCTAAATCTGACCTATTTACGCTTTGTTTCTGCCTCCTTCTTGATAAATAAACATGAACACTGAGACATGACAGAGCACGTCTGCAGAGGCTTCCGTGCAGGGGAGCGGCCGTGATTCACCTCCTACACACACACACACACACACACACACACACACACACCCACATGTTACTGGATTTCCTTTAAATACCAACTGACTTCTGTCTTACATAATCATACCAGCAGCTGACTGTCTTAACAAAGCTCCAACACACAGGGACTGCAGCTCTGAATACACTGGTAGTCCCCGTCCATGTATTTATACAGCCTGTAGTCTCCATCTGTACCTTATTCACAGGAGAGGCTGTTAATGTATGAAGTAGGCCTACTATTACTGTTTTAGTAAAGAAAAATACATCACTGTTAATGTGATAAACACACCCCTGTCCACAAATATAGCCTCTGAGTTCGAATAAAGGGGAATCTTAATGCTAATACAATGAGCAGGCCCCTTTCCTGTTTCAACATGACCAATCCATTAAGAAATAGCTTTGGCAGTTTAGTGTGGAAGAACTGGACTGGCCTCCACAGAGTCCTGACTTCAACCCCATCCAACGCATTTGGGATGAACTGGAACTCTGACTAAGGGCCAGACCTTATCACCCAAAATCAGTGTTGGACCTCAGTGAAGCTCTTCCCTGCAGCCAGGTTCCAACATCTGCAGGAGGACCTTCCCAGAAGAGTGGGGGCTGTTGTCGCAGATAACAGATTAAAGGGAAACTGCACCAATTTGACACATCAAAGTATGTTTATAGGTCTCGAAGAGTACTACTCCATATGTGCTACATTAGCAGCTATTAGCATAACATATCCGAATCTCTCCGACACGACTCACGGTCCAGTTGCTTTGTGGGTAATTTAGATGCCAGGTTTTTCCAAGGAAGAAGAATAGGAAGAACAGGAATAAAAAAGACAACAACTCTGTTTCTGCTGCATTGATTCTGATCCTGTCCATCATGAGTCTGATAATGTTCTATGAGTGAAATGCTAAATAAGTTGAGTACTCTTTTAGTGGAATTCCATGTTCAGCTCATTTGGGTGTAATGTTTGTTATGAAATGTACCTCTATACTTTACAAACTGATATGGTGAAACTGTGGTGTCTAATTCTGAAAACAAAGTTCCCACAATGCTGGAGTACAGAACCCCCCTGCACTATGAAGTGTGTATGTGTGAATGTGTGTAACCTAATCCAGGGTAAAACAAGACAGCTGCACATGAGGTCTCACTGCGTCACTTCAAAAAGAAAGAGAGAGACAGAGACATATAGAGAGTGAGCAAGAGGGAGGGAGAGGGAGAGGGAGAGCTGCAGAGAGAGAGAGAG